TTTACGGTAATTCCCCGTCAAAATTGACCTGTAGTTAGTATCACTTCTTTTTTTTCCATCATACACATGATACTTTTTGTCTTGTGTTACAATGTTGGTAATGTATTTTTGGATATTAATGCTGGCAGTAAATTATTAATATAGAATTTGTTTTTTTTTTTTCAACATAGGCTTTGCTATCAATCAAAATGTTTCTTTTCCAACCATTAGCTTTTTTTCATAATAAATATTGTTCTATAACCTGTTAACAATGGTCGTGGGTTCGAATCCGATAGCCGATAGCATTAGATGGTAGTGCTTTAAGACTTTAATCTTCAAGTTTATATATCTCTAAATAAAAATTTTCTTTTTCTTCTATTGTGAGCCAATAAACCAACAACAGATGATTCGCTGCTTTGAGTTGACTACCTCATAGTCTAGTAGTCAAGATATCAGACGCTCAATCCGAAAGACTCAGGTTCGATTCTTGGTGTGGGATAGCCCATAAATTGTACTTCAGTTACATGTGCTGAAACGCTGAGTTGTTGTTGATTTTACTTTTACCTTATTACACTAACTAGCACGAGTGCTTTTTTCCATTTTTCTTCTTTCGTTCTGGGAAAACTGTTCTCCTGCATTTTCTTTCGCTCTCTTTCGCGTATATGAGCAAGTAACTATATATATATATATATATATATATATGATCTATACAAGCGTCTTTGCCATGATCTTAACACAACAAAACAATCGATGTATCGGCAGACGTATCGAGAACTTTACAATTTTAAAGAGCTATGCCTAAAAAAAGATAGTTAGCTAGACTTGATATTTACAATATTTGCTCTATAAATCATGTTGGTAATCGTATGCTAAACATTAATATACTTGATGGACACCCTGATAATCATTCTTAGATCTAGCACAGAAAATAAGAAAATTATTGTGGAGCCATCCTGCAAAGCTAAGTGTCTTTGTGATGCAAGCAATGTACGTAAGACAGTTCTTTAATTTTCATCATAAGAATTAGTGCAACGACGTATTCCTAAATGTGGAAGAAGTTTTCGATAAACTCTGGAATAATGGGTTACCTTTCTAACTTTAAAAATGTCTTCCTATTCCCATTATATTTACAAGAAAAGCATTCCTATTTTAAAATTTGGCATGAAACATCCAACTTATATAAAATTGAAAATCGAGTGCCACAGGGAGGTGTTTTAGGCCCAGTGCTTTATGCAATTTTCACTTCAGATTTTCCGATCCCTGGCAATATTTCAACTGCGACATAACCAGATGACACGCGAATCATCTTTGTCAGTTAGCAAATCTTTGCAAGCTTCCTTCTCTATCAACAACCGCGTAGGATGTCTTGCCTTGCACGTTAACCAAAGATTAATATGGGAAAAGCATATAAGAAAAGTCGACTTAAAAACCACAATACTCTTTTGGTTAGTTCGTCCAGAATCTCAATTCATTGTATACAAGAATATTCTTCAAACCATTCGAGTATATGGCATATAATAGTAGGGAAGAGCCCGTAATTCTAGTATTAAAATATTTTAAAAATATTAATACAAAACTCTCCGTCTCATTCTTAACGCCCCATTATCCATTGACAACGAAACTATTCGTGACGACTTGGATTTTGCTTTTACTAAAAGTCCAATTGAACGCTTTGTTTATCTTGTCAGATCGAGAATCGTAAAGCGTAAATCGCTTCCATAATAACTGAATCTAATGAGATAAGAAGATTAAAAAGACATCATATAGTGGATCATTTATATAAAGGGTACTTTAGTTTTATTCCTTAAATTATTTTCATGAATTTTCTGAGTCTATATAGTTTTTGCTTTTACTTATTTAGAACATCGTATCTGTATGGTTATATCATTTCCATTAGGCGAATATCGTTATTATTAGTTATTCTCCTCACCTTACCATACAATTTACTTTCTATTTTTTTAAATAGATCGTAATAAAAATATAGCAAACCTTTCAAGCCTTTTAATCAATTTAAAAAAGTATTTTCCCTTTGGATATTTATCAAAATACGTGCGGTATTTATTGAAAATACAAACTAATTCACAATGAAAAATACGAGAGATATTTGAAAATGCGCCTGAAATCATGCAAAGAAAAAGTGCAAAAATATATTTTCTGCTCACCTGAAGCAGAAAACTATTGTTTTCCTTCGGTACTAATTGCTCTTGTAAAACTTAATTAAAAATATGTATTAATAGTGAATAATGGTCATTGCTGATAACGATCAACAAAATTATTCTGGATTTTTCGCCTATTCCTTTTATCAATTCAATGATGTGACAAATCCTCCCCTACTTCACTTTACTTTACCACACTTTGTTACAAAAGGAGAAACAATGTTCAAGATGTTAATTTAACCATTAATTATTAACATGCTATTAACCTTTTCTTTGTTCGAAAATTCAATTTGTTCATTCGTACAAATATCGTAATTTTTAAAATCTGCCACGTACACTATCTATATCTACAAAAGAAGTTTGGGAATATATCGTAATACTTGCCTTGTATGTTCATATGGATATGTGTTTTTTAAACTCTCCTGATCGCAGTAAGATATCGAATTCGAATTTAGCAAAAACATTGGAAGTTCTTACACGCGGACTGGTATTGAAAACGTAATCTGAAAACATCTCTGTTTCCCTAAGCAATAATTTGTAGATGTTTGCTCATTGCTCACAAACGATAAAAGATGGAAGGCTGAAATGTTTCACACTTGTTTTACGGAGAACTCTGCTATTCATGTTCAGAAATGGGAAAAATCGGCCATGCCCACGCAAGATTATAAGTCATCAAATTTTTATTGTATTTTATTTACTTTATATTAAATTTGTGCGGATGTACGCAACACCTAAAAAGACTTGCGATACACCCACCTTAAGAGTAATACCAAGCTTTCCCGTCCATGTGCCCGCCTTATTTTCTTTTGCTTAATCTACAGTTCGCAATATTTGAGATATTTTGCTGAAAATTGTAATGTTTTGTCGCAAGCAGGAACGCTATCGGACCACTTCTCCGACCACTTCCCGGATAGCGATTAATTTTGAAAAGTCGCCATATAAACAACAGTAGGGAGGTGTAGGATATTTAAATTTGTGCTGTGACTCACTACAGAATTTCTTACTTGTTTTCTTCTAAGTGAAATCTGCTAGTAATTCACATATTATAAAATTTCTAAAACCCCTTAATATTGATCTAGTAATAATAAATTGCAGTTTTAATTTTATCTTATCACGCTGCGGTAGAATAAAATTGGCGGTGGTCTGGCACAATGAATGGTGATGCGTATATAAGATTTGACGTCAGCGAAATGCAACTTCCTTATTTTTCTTAAGCTTTTATTTTTAGGATGCACGGAGAATTTATTAATTTTATCTTTTGTCATGGCCACACTACAGTCGCAGAAAGAAAATGCGATTTATGGCAAGTGCCAAAGTGAAAACTAAAGCAAATTTATTAAAATGACTTGAGTTTTTCTTGTTCAAGAACCGTCCCACTCGTCCCACAATGTACACAGATGTTGAGGGTTAAACGTGAAAACCAACAGCGCTATGAGTACAATTACTCAAGATTCGCAAAACTGCGGATTTGGTTTTCTTCCGACCACCCGTGTTCTTCTCAATTCTTCCACTTTGTATTTTTTTTAAATATAATAATTTTCTTTTCCTCATTAAAATCTTAGTTTGGGGAAAAAGAAATCCATTATTTTTTCGGTAGATGGCTGCACTGATAGATTTCTCGTAAGGTATCGATCAAACAATTTCAGATTTATGCTCGTTGAAAAGGGGACATTTCGCAGTAAAAAAAATTCTTTTGCTGTTTTTTGTTTGGTGCATTCAATTGTGAGTTGCAGCGTTTTAAAAATGGAAGTGAACAAAGAGAAAATTCGGTACATTTTACAATTTTTCTTTGACAAAGGCGAAAATGCAAGCCAGGCGGCTAAAATTGTGAATGGTGTTTATGGTTCCGATACTGTAACAGCCAATTATGTGCAATTTTGGTTTCGTAGATTCCGTTCAGGAATTTTTGATGTTAAAGATGCACCTCGCACAGCTAGGCCGGTCGTCGAAAATGTCGATAAAATCGGAGAAATGATCGAAGTTGACCGGCATGTTAGCAGTCGTAACATAGCCCCGAAGCTAAAAATCGACCATAAAACAGTTTTAAACCATTTACACAAAGCTGGATTCAAAAAGAAGCTCGATGTTTGGGTGCCACACCAATTAACAGAAAAAAATATGATGGATCGAATTTCCATCTGCGAAGCCTTGGCCAATCGGAATGAGATAGACCCATTTCTTAAATGGATGGTGACTGGAGATGAGAAATGGATCACATACGATAACCCTGTGCGAAAACGATCGTGGTCAAAGAGCGGTGAAGCACCTCAAACGGCCAGGAAGGTTTTGCTATGCATTTGGTGGGACTGGAAGGGGATTATTTATTATGAGTTGCTTCCATATGGCCAAACGCTAAATTCTGATCTCTACTGTTAACAACTGGACCGTTTGAAGATAGCGATTGACCAGAAACGGCCAGAATTGGCCAACAGGAGAGGTGTCGTGTTCCACCAGGACAACGCTAGGCCAAACACATCTACAGTGACTCGCCAGAAACTTCGGGAGCTTGGTTGGGAAGTTTTAATGCATCCGCTATACAGTCCGGACTTGGCACCAAGCGATTATCATCTTTTTCTTGCATTGCAAAGTTTCTTTAATGATAAAAAATTAGAGTCTAGGGAGGATTGTGAAAATCGACTACTAGAGTTTTTTGCAAATAGAGACCAGGACTTCTATGAGAGAGGCATTTTGAAGTTACCTTTAAAATGGCAACAAATCGTACAACAAAACGGTGCACATTTGACCCAAATCGGACAATCCGAAGCATGTTAAATAAAGTCCTGAAATTCATATAAAAATAATGGATTTCTTTTTCCCCAAACTAATATTAAATTAATCGACATTCAATTAGTTATAAAATTAATTACTTTTATTTATTTACATTAATTTTTTTTTAATTTTTCCAGTCTTGCATTAGATTCCTTTGATCTTAATTTCTTAAGGAATTTGATTAGTCTCCACGGTAACCAAACAGCCACGAATACTACAAGCAAAGCACATGCGAAGACATCCAATAGTAAATACTGATATAACGGTATATAAGTACCATATGATTTAAGATGCGGTGCACCCTTATGTCGTACGATATATTCAATCCAGTAGGAAGCCTCTTTCAAAGGATGAATGGGGTTATCACGAAACTTCTTTGACACTTCTACAGCTTTACGTTTATATTGTGGATCATTTATTAGCAAATTGATATTATTCACTAGATCCTCCGACGACATTTGTGAGAAAACCAAGGAGCGAGCATAACCTCCCCGAACAGCCTTAATGCTGTTACGATGTTGATCGCCGTACAAGGGTATGCATAGCATCGGGATACCCCAATGAATGCCTTCTTGAATGCCAAAGATGCCACCATGTGTTATGAAAATTTTCACATTACGATGAGCTAAAATGTCATTTTGTGGCAACCATTTCTGAATCATTATATTCGAAGGTAAACTGCCAATGGTATCGTTCTCATATTTCCACAAAACCTTCTGCTTTAATTGACTAAATGCCTGCAATATAGTAGCAGTTCTTTCGGCTGGCATATCAGTGCTTTTCATATAAGAACCTAAGCTGAAATACACAACGCCCTGTGAGGCATCGTCCAGAAAATTCTAAGAAAAAAAAACGAGCAATTATTTAATATTAAGTGTAGAAGCAGAGTGCAATGTAATAACATACCTGTAGTTTTGTAGGTAAAGGCCGAGCTGGCATGATATGAGCACCTCCCACATCTATTAAACCGGGCATACTGGGTCTCGGTAGGTCAACACTACGATGACTGTTTATAAGCATTAAAGATATGTTACGCTCCAAGTCCTTCACCGAAGGCAACGGACCTTTTTTAAAACATAAAAAGCGAATTTATTCAATTCCCCGAAATTAATCGGAAACATTTTTACCTTCTATAAATGGACCGAAATGTTTCTCGGCCATTGCTTGCATTTTTGGTATATAAACCCATTTCCTCATTAGCGAATCATAGAGCGACAAGTACGTATTGTAAGCCCTTTGCGAGAAGGTCATACGATCCGTGTGCGGTAAAACCAAATGCGGTATTATTGACCATGGCGTTATTAGGCCCATATTATGATCCATATTATCGGCATAGCCCATAGTGCCGATGGTCACAATCGGACATTGAAATTTATGAGCAAACATCAAAAAGCTTTCATGGAAGAATTGCTCCAATATTAGTAAATCGAATTTCTGCTCTTTACTCGCGATCAATTTTTTTATTTTCGAATCATTCAACGCATGCTCTGTTGTCGTCATGCCAACGTGCCACCATAATTGTAGATTTTGAAAATCACTAGCGAAACGCATATTGAATATATGTGCTTTGGGAACTATTGTACACATAGAGAATATGAAATTAATTAAGTTAAGTTGCAAAAGGCACAAATTCTTATACTTACAGTAGTAGGGTATATCGAACTTCGGATCGATTATAATTTCCGTTAAATTCGGATGCGGCTGTTTAGCCGGAAAATTATTAACCGAAGTCACATGATGGCCACGTTTGAGTAAATCTTTTTGAAAATGTTCCAGCCATAGCCAGTGACTGGGTGCCGGAAACGGACCCATAAACAGTACATTAAAGCCATTTATTATTTGTGGCGAAATCAACGACAAAAGAAGCCACCCATAAAGTGGCAACAGCGGCATCATCTATGAAAAAAAAAAAACAACAACAACAACAAGAAAATAGTTTAACAAGTGATATTATTTCATGTTAAATAATAATAATTGAAAATACACTTTTGTTCTTTATCGCTGCCTTTAACAAATAATTCGAATTGTTAAATGGAAAAAAAGTTAAAATGATGTTTCGCTTCACTAGCTGATAAAACATTAGATTTAACCGAATACTTGCTTTTGATAAGCGTACATTATTCTTCTCGATCGAATGTGAAATTCTATATCGATTTACAAGCTTTTGTTGGAAGACTCACGATCCCAAAGTTAGTTTTGAAAGCCAATTTTCCTAAGTAATGGATACACTATTCGAGAAACTGTAGCTTTCAGTTGCAAAAACACTTTATATCTAGGTAAGAAAGTATGTACGAACTAAATATTATGCGAAAAATGGCAAACAAACAAGTGAATTCAAAATCTGCTACCACTGTGCTGGAATATACACCTAAGTGCAAGTAGCACTACGTTTTGAAATTGCGAGCGTAGCGAACTCACTTACATAAGCGTCCACAATAGATAAAACACCACAACTTGCAATTTATAGGAGACATCAAATTGAGACCTGGTGTAACTATTTTGAAAGCCCTTTAAACTATCAGTGTAAGTGTATTTCCAAGCAATCAGCTGGAACATCCATATTTAACAAAACAGTTTGCACTGCCTGCCGGAATAAAGTAGTGAACGTGAAAGATTTACATTAAAGCGAATATCATTTACAATAATTACTCGTTTAGCCGCCATCTCTGTGGTCGGGCAAAGATGAACGTGCACTAAAGTGCACTGAAAATTTCTCTTTCAATTTTAGTGTTAAGACAAAGATTGAAATAAGTCATGCTCCTCCACATGTTTCTAATTGCATGTTGAAACTGTATAAGTAAAGCTTTTTATTTAGTGTTTACCGGCAAAACTAGATATGCTTTCTCAACTATCGTGCTCTCTGTATTTGAAACACTCAAATGGGGTGCTAAGAAAAATTGAAATTAGGGTGGAATATTTAATTGGACCGTCGTGAGTTTAAATTTCATCCCAAGGTCAAGATAAGGCCCCTCGTTGCTTTTATACCCATTATTGGCAACATATTTCATTTGTCACCACTTAGCAACGACAGTGTAGTAGCTACGTGATTTCCTTTGCAGCACACTGAAATACGTATTCAAAACTCCATACAATGATGTTTATAACATCCTGAGTCAATTAACATTGTCCCTTTGTGCATCCATTTGTCATCCGTTGGTGGAAAACTCATCATTGCAATCATAGACACTTTCCGTTGACAGGCAAAGATCGAGTATGAAAATAACTACAACCTGCCCGTAACAACCAGACCATCTGGAAACTATAGCTTTTATCATTATATAATCTTCCCTCCCTACTGTTATTCAAATGATGAATTTTCAAAAGAAGACTTTCAATGGGTGGCACTCGAAATAGTGATGCGATCCGAACCATTTTCAAAAACGTTGGACTAAATCGGTTTTTCAAATTTCATCAAAATACCTTAACAATTGCCAGCTGTAGGTCGGACACAAGGACAAACAAGCTGAGCTCAATTCGAAAGAGATTCTAAATTGGCATCCGGACAGACTTAATATGCCCCTATACCATTAGCCGTGTAGGTATAAAAGCGCCCACATATCGCACGTCTTAATTCAAAAAAGCTCACAACGAAATTTAATAATATGTCTTGCGGCCTTAGAACATGAAGATGTGCTTGGCAATGAGTCCAGATTTCTTATTTCTCTTTGATTAGCGTGAGACTCTGAATACTTCTAGTAGTACTCTATTCATTGAAATAATGACAAAGGAACAGACAACCAGTTTATTTGCCATTGTCATGTTATAAAATATTTACACAATAGAAATCTTCAAAATCTCAAGTAAACGCTGAAATTCGTGTAGACTCATGCCGTCAAAAAATTAGCTAATAATACATAATATGACATGAAAAATGGACACAATTAGATAACAAATAAAAGAATGTAATTCCGCTTGTGAGTAAATTTTTGAAAACATAGCAGTTCTCAGTCCATGACGCACAGACGGGCAGAGGAATAGGCGAATAGAAGGGTATATGGATGCACGGGAACGAGTGTGGACGGATAAATGGACGCAGGTATACACCGATCCAGCGATACACGGATACACGGTTAGGGGGATACATGGTTGCACATGTAGACGCGCCCACAGATAGGCGATTCAAAATTTGATGGTTATTTCTGCGCGTTGCATCAGCTTTGAGCAGATATGCACCCATCTTTCGTTGGTGGATGGAAAAAGTTGAACGAATTGTAAACAAGAAGAAAATTAAATTCAGTTTTGTTGATTTTTTTCACATTGGAGTGGGTATCCTTTCGATCGATACGCAAGTGTTGCATACTTTTAAAGCAAATTTTTGATAATTGGCCAGCACTTTATAACGCGTCTATATATGTCGCGGATGACAAATGAGTGAATCCTTAATCGAATTGAGTTTAGTTTTAAGTTTGACGCGACAGGACATGCAAAGAAAATTCGAGAGCAAGTTTCATCTTCCTCGGTCCACCGAAAATAGTCAATTAACATTAAAATTTGTATACTTTTCAACAATTTATGAAAAGAAGAACTCATCAAGAATAATAATTAAAACCTCATTATCTCCAAATGGCTGTCAACGTACTCAATATGCTTTTCCTGTTAACCGACAATATATAATATCATATATGATACGTGATGTTATTACATATATAATAAAAAATCTGAAATCAAGTCAAATATACATCTGCAGTCCGTATAGTATCAACTAAAATTTTGGAAAAATTTTTTTATTAAATCCGAAAAGCAAACAGAAAACACAATTCCAAAATTTTACTCTCAATACAAATAACTTTTAACTAGAAGACGTTTCAAGGTTATCGATTTAAGTATTTAAAGACTTCGCTAATTGCTTTATTTCGTTGGAACCACAAAAAAACTTTTGGCAAAGTGTCAATATATGTGAATAAAGCAATTCAACCACTTGGCATATTCGAAAAGCTCACTAACCTAAGCAAACATATATATATATATATATATATATATATATATATGGATGTTAAAAATCGATAAGTTTGATGCTAATCGTAGGAGCGATACTTCCTCAATCTGATCATCTTTACACCTTTGGTACGCATTTGAAGAGGACATGTTAGATCAAAATATAGAACTGAACTTTTAATCGACCTTATTTTGCCTATATATATATATATAGGTAAGACGGACTAACTATCTTCATGATCTGCAAATAAAACAAAATCCGTTTATCGGAAACTGTACATAAGAGATTCCATTAAGTGATTCAAATAATTTTGAAGTCAACTGTGATGGAGGTTAACTACAATTATTTGGCCAAAGTTGAAAAAAACCACGAATCTCCAAAGTCTTGACTTTAGCTGCTAGTTAACCAATCAAGTAGAATTTATATAGCTGTCCCTAAGTTAGTTGAATGTTGCAAATCTTTCGATAAATTCGGAATGTTTTGGAATTTTTTGCGAGTAGCAGTGATTAATTAGAATATTATCTTGACTTAACTCATTACCTTCAAATTTGTTCTCATATGTTTAAAAGAAACAAAGTGTCCATAAAGATTATTTATCAAAAAAATCAGGCAATGAAAATTATTTAACAATAAATTAATATTATATGTTAATGATAAGAGATAAGAGAAAAGAGAAATTATTGCGTACGAAATGCCTTGAAATTGAAGGCGACAGCATTTTTTAAGTTTATTTTTGAAGATGTCGCTTGACATAGTTTTCATATCACATTTCTAATAATAGATTAGCTAAACACTAACATGATAACATTGTTTAAAAGATAAAATATTATCTAAGTTCATGAAAAATATTACAAGTTCAGCGATTGACTTTAGCATTAGCGTTAGAAGATTTATTAAGTAAAAAACAGGGAAAGGCGAAGTGAAGCCCTATTTGCCTTACGAATCTATCTTAGACCGAATTTTTTTGAATTACATATTACGGTTAACCATATAACGAGTTTTCGAAAGAAGGCGTTATAAAAAGTGGTGTGATCCGAACCAGTTTCAAAAGCGTTTGTCCTTAAGCCATATTTCAACAAACTATCTCAACTATATGGCTTGAATCTAAGTCGACAAGACGGACAGATGGACGTAGCTATAATATCAACACAATAACCAACATTCATAAGATACCTCGCTCAACGGTGTATATTGTGTTTCCATATGAAATTTCCTTATAACATTTTCGATTAACAGTCCTAGCGACAGCCCACTTTCATCACCTCAGTGTTGCGATTCAATGTTTTTAGAAAAATTTGCATATTCTTGCGAAACCAAATTAAATTTCCACTTTTCAAATTTTCCATAATATCCGACACACAGAGTTTCATTTTAAACCGCACAAAGAAAGAAATATATGTAAGACCAACTACAAGGATATGTCAATGCGATGCGATGCTCTTATTTTCCCACCCGTTAACTGGCAAACGCAAACCGGCGCTGACTCAACGTTTAACAAAAGTCTGCAAGCTTTCTCGCAGACGAAACGTCACTTGGGCATCGTAACCTTCTTTTATGTGTCGTCTAATCATGCAATCTTTCCGCAATCATTTGCTCGCGAAGATTACATTTTTTGCTCTGATAAGATTCCTTCCTTAGCTTGAATTTTTACTTTTCTCATTTTCAGCTCGTGTTTCAAGGTAAACTTCAGGATGACTTGAATTTCACTGTGTATATGTGCTTAAGATAAACTGTAAGAATTTTTCAATGGGTAGGCTGAGTGGGATCTCGACTACCAACTCAATTGCCGTGGCTTCAAATTTCAAGTGCGTTCGATTTTTCAATAAAATGTATTTCTCTAACTTAACTGATTACAATAATAATAATAACAATAATTTTCTTATGGTTCCTTATGTATATTGTAATCATCAAATTGCTGCGCGCTTACCAGTTTAAATGGTGTTCTCTTTATAGGATTCCTTCCTTATCTTTTAATTGCAACTTTTACATTCTCAGCTGTATGTCAAGGTTTTTCTTTCGATTTTATTTTTTCACTACATATATACACACATATATATATATAAATATATATTAATGAAAAATACGTTTATTTCTTCTTGAACTTTATATATAAAGCGCGCGCAAATCATTCATGTAGTAGTAGCGTCGTATTTATTCTTCGTTAATCTTCTTCTTAATCATATTAGTAGGCTAATTCCAGCCTTTATATTCATAAAGTATTTCTTTACCTAAGTAGAAGTTTGAAATACACTTTTACGACAAGTCCAAAGTTCCGAAATTCTCGATTTTTTCTTTTTACTTTTGCTTTCTACAATATTTTCTGCTTTTCATCGTTTGAATGAATCTTCTTCTAATTTTGTCAGATTCAATTCTTTCTCGAGTTTGATACGTTCAACGTTTGGGAATTTTGAAAATTTTACAAACTTGTTTCCAAACAACATAGATAACAGTTTTTGTGGCTTTAACGATACAGAAAAAAAATCGCTGAAAAAAATCGCAATATTAATAGGGACTGATTCATTAGCTCAGCTAATAAGATTACGAATATTTTTGAGAATTAAACAAACAAAAATTTGCCAAAATAATTCGTTATCTTCAGATTAGTGTAAAGTAATTATTGTTACTTAAAAATTTTACAAGTGCTATTAAAGTTCGAATGAAAGGATAATATTTATTGCAATCTTTTCTTTTCATTTTTTTATTAGCATACGATTAAACTTGAAACCTTACTTCGTAAAGATTGAAATCAAAACATGTTTTTTTTTTACAATTACCGACTAGTAAACTCGCTGCGATACCTCACTTGCGAAAATGAGTATAGAACTTTTATAAATTTTCAGCGTTGTATAGGGCAGACAATGTGTATTAAGTAAGTATTACGAGATCGAATAACGCCATTGCAAGTGATTATATAATCGTTTCAATTGTCAATCAGAGCAACAACATGATTGACAGAACAGATAACAAAAACTGTGTGCAATTCTATGAAAAAGAATACAAAGAGTAAAATTTTTAAAAAATTTTCAAACCCTTTCAAAAATATTTCCAAATCATTTTTCTGAGAACTGTAAGAATATCAAAAAAGAAAACTAAGAACACTTTGACTCGTGTACTCGTTTTTCAAAATGAGAATAAGCCACAAATTTCCACGCCTACTCATTGGTTAACGAGAACCCTGTTAATAGGGAGACACTCGATACTTCCATATACTCAAACTCCTAAACGGGGTATATACAAAGGGAGTAAGCGGTAAAAGAAAGGGAAACATTTACGTTTTTCCATTATTAGCGTTCAAATATAAGCAGTACCTCACATACCAAGCCAATATAGACATGAATGCGTAGAGTTTATCATTGTTGCTTTTAAAATGTAAATGCCAGACGTCTGATGTATAATAGCACATATGAAAGTGTCTGTTTTTAGTTTCTAATAAATATGTTGTCGAGATATTATTAATAAGTTAAAGCGAAAACAGCTTTTTTCAGGAGTTAATCCGTAATTTCATTTCTTATTTGAAGTCAATGCAAACGAAGCTACAGCTACAGCTTGTGCCGATATGCATGACCTCGAGCACATTAATTGTAAATAAATTTGCTTGATCTATCCTTCCAGGCATTCCACTCTGCTAGTGTCCATCTAAATATTAAGATTATAATCTCATCACTTTTCAGCTGGAATAAGAAATGTATTCCTTTATGATTTCTTTCTGATCCCATTACATCACTGGCTGAAAATTCACTAATTCCTTTATGAGATTCACTTAAAAGGAGTGAAACTTGCCATATTAGAGCCTTTTTCCTTAATCGACTTTGCATTGAAATGCCGTAAGGAATGATATATCAATATAAAGTTGGATACACTACGCCTTGAATATATCGCATGCTGGGTTTTTGCATGCCATCGTTGCTTACAAAACTTGCCCAATACAATATGTTATTATTGCACACACACACACACACCAACACACAAACACACACAAACATTACAGGGATATTTTTATGCATGGTTTGCTTCGAATCTTTTGATCTCACATATAACTCTTTCTTTATTTGAAAAAAAAGGCAACTAATACGTACAATATCGTAAGATTTGCCTACGAGCAATATAATCTCTTTGTATAGGAGTTCTTGACAATAGAAATTGAAATCAATTGACTTTCGAACCTGAACAGTTTATGTACATTGCATCACTTTCACGTCTGCCTTAAAACACTTTTATGAATGAAAGACGTAGAACTGTTTACATCTAAACAGTAGCTCATTAAATAGCATTTGTGTGTTATGTAAAGTTTCGCCATTACTTGTAAATAATAAACAAAAAATTTTTATTCGCCTTAAGACGAATCGTTGATACTCACTATTTCAGAGCCGTTTAACATATTTATGGCCACATTTGAGCCAATATTTTCTATACACATGTCCTGCCAATCATTACTCAGGGTTTCAGATGGTATCCTGCAATACCTTGTGCTATTGCTTAGGCAAATAGCGGGTATACATCGGTTCAATTCGCGGTGCCGTAGACCGCACTTTGATAACGACTAATGGATCTATGGCCGACGAATACTCACAACATTTCTCGATCGTGCACACTTTGCTGGCTGCGGCCACTTCGTACGTCTCTTTCGCGACTTCTTTCGAACCATGTCTACTCTAAAGTGATATAAGTAATAGCAACAGTTTTTACTGTGTGCGGGCGTGATTGGGAATGCCTCGCACCCATTTTCAAGCTTTATCTCCAGTCATCGCATAACATTTCTTATGTCAAGTATCAACTTGTTGTCTAAATTCTCATGATTATGTCAGAATTCTGAAGGCAGAACACTACTTTTATTATTGAATCTGAAAGCAGAACATTATTATATTTGTTTGGGAGTAATCGGTATCGTAACCGAATCGATTTGTTGTACTTGAACAACAGGGGATTTAACTCCACGCGAAATTCTACGCTCATCAACTAGCTTATGGGAAAGACTTATGGGGCCTGCAGGCATATCTCGGCAGGTTCCAAAAGCAAGACGGAATTCGTTCTATCTTTTCTTTAATCGTACAATAGCGAAGGTATTCTTTAACAATAGATGAATGTATATATGTAAATTTTTTGATAATATTTACTTTAGTGGAATTATAAGTTTTATCACACAGTTTATAACATTTTATATATATATGTACATTTATTGCTACAGAATGAACTCACTTTCGTACCGTCAAGGACACAAATATATTTACTTTAGTCGAATTGTTGGCAAAAGAAAATGCGTGAAAGTGTTAATGAGAGACGAATGAGAGAGAATCAACTGACCCATATGAGGTCAATCACACATAATCAATAAAAGAGAAGAATGGACATCAGAATGTTATTTCAACCAAATTTTTTTTTAAATTTAAATACATAAAAAACATATACACAAGAAGAATAGACCAATTGAAGTTATTTTTAATCTGCACTGTATAACGGGTAGATAGGGCTTATCGCATCATTGTCATGTCAAGGAAGATACGTGATCTTAATTACCGTGCTTAGCGCAGTTTGTTGTTTATAGTCCAATATCCAGACTTGTCGAAATAACAATCGTGGCGACGAAAAAAAGTTAATCGCAATTCTTTTCTTTTGATTCCTCGATCCGCGCCATACTTTGAACATTTTTATTAATGCATTAAACATGGACTTATCGTTTGAACTGTGAAATCAGGTAAATCGGATTCAAAGCTCGCTGATATTTACCAAATGTACATAGGTGAATAAGGCGGCACTTGATTTCCACTTTATGTAATTGCTCATAAGATGCTGTTATCTGCTCCCTAGTAATTTTATAAAAATCTAGTTGCAAATATAACTTTTTCCCGAACTTATTCCAATTTGCAATCGAACATTATACAGCAGTGAAACTTGGAGGACAATGACAATAATTTAGTAACGACTGTCATTTCGATGGGAAATCAATAATGGATACTAACAGCGACCATTTCAAATTGAATTTTCTTTGTTAGAAATTTTATGATCAAAATAAAGATAAAATTTTAACTTTCTACTGATTTGCCAGGAAATTGACAAACTCTGACTCAGTAATATTTAGAAGCACTTAAATTATCTAAAATTAAGATAAAAAAAGTAAAACACTATAGAGAGTAATGGTCCACCACCATACGACTATTTATATAAACACTCCTCAAAGTATGGTGTCATATGGGAAGTAGTAGAAACAGGTTTGCGGCCCAAATCCTCGATCGTCCTTGAGCCAAAACATCTTCAAAATATCTCAAAAACTGCGGCCTGTAGGTGAAACAAAAGAAAATAAGACGGACAGACGGACAAACAAGGTTAGATCAAATTAAAAAGTAATTCACAAAGTCATTCTGAGCCGATCGGTATAATAAAAGGCGACAAAGGTTGGTTAGCATTACATCTGGGTGTTGCGTCCATTCGCACAAAATTAATATTCCACTGCACTACAAGTGGTGTAAGGTATGAAAATTGAAACCTAGTGCTGAGACTTTTATATAAGCACAGCAACACGATGGTTATTAAATCGCCCCAACACATTTAAGAAATCCCTTAAAAACCGAGATACCTGAGTATATTTTTATTATTAAGATATACGATCTATTGTTTACAACGATCTAAATATCGATATGAAAATATTCTTGACTACTTGGCAAAATTATTAACGACATTGTGTGCATGCATGAATGATGATCATCACATATATATTTGCCTTGAGGCGAAAGTAATTTTTTTACTTGTAATAACTTTGCCCTTGAACTCGAATGAATGCAGATTATGCCGTGATTTTAAGAGTTGAAGAGACATGAGAATATGTTTATGTTTTGGGATCGTTTCCATTTGCTGTTAATGCTATTAATTTAATTATAAAAAGCTATAAATTATTTAAAGCTTATTTAACTCTTCTTACTTGCTTAGGTTGAATAATATCATTAACTTTTAATTTATTTGAATAAATTTTATTATTTTTTTTTTTATTTCTTTAATATCACTCTCCTTTTCAATATCACTTTTAAAAGCAAACGTCCATCTAACTGCACTAAACCGATCGAACTGAACTGAAATTTTTAACAAATAATTTCTACAAAAAAAAGCGAGTCGCGAGAATCCGCAATTTCACACTTTTCATTTCTTATTCATCCGCAAATTAAATAAATGCGAAACATGAAGTGTATGAGCATATATTTACCTAAATGACTGTAGCACTTTAGCAAAAGCGCTAATCGCTGTGAACGCATAACAAATCGAAACTCATAGATTACTGTGACACTGAGTTTTTGTTTTCATTTGAACGCAACTTCCTAGCACGAGACTTTTTAATATGTTCATGTTGTACTTGCAATAAAGCAACAATTATTATCTGAAACGTATTAATTTTGATATTGTTTCTGTTATCCATATCAAACAGAAATATACCTGTTAACCTACTAACATTGAAAATGCAAACCGGAATTCAACTCTAGAGCGTATGTAAAATTTCCAACAGACAGTAATTTACAATTCAAAGGGTGATTATTGCTTAGAGACGATAACATTCCATATGTTGGGTGTTAAAAGGTCGGACACAATTTCTCTCTCTCTCTCTCTCGATCTCTTGCTTATTATTGTTATACACATGTTGATTAAAGAGGTTGGGCAACATTTCTCTTAACCATAGTAGGGGACTTCACGAAGAATTTTAAATATTTTTATGATATTATTTGAATTATGCTATAGTTTGACTAAGTACTCAGTAAACTTTTCTGATATTATGACGGAAAGGTTTCATTCGAGCTCTACTTTCGTTCAACTCAACTTATAACTTCAATGCCTTGTGAAAAGTGCAACAAATTGGTATCTTTAACGCTAATAACAGTGACTACAGTTAATAATTCCGAATAATAGGCGAATAAGTAAGTAAGCAAAGAAGCATTGATCTTCTAAAGACTTGACAGTGATATATATAGAGTACGCATTCATGTCAAGTATTCGATTCTAGCAATAAAAATGCTGGAGTTAAATTGATGAGAAGATGTTATATTCCTCTCGCAATTCTCTCTACGATATTTGACTACAAAGTAGAGAGAAGACAAATTCACTCATACCCGTAAAGATAAACGTCGTATATACTAAACATTTCAAATTATTTTTTTTCGTAACTTACCAGCATCTCATCGATAACTTTGGCAATCAAAATCCAAGTTTATCTCATCCATTTTATTTATATATGGCTGCTATGCAAATCCTTTCAGCAGATTTTCGAACTTAACTTAATAATAGCGACAAAAACAAAGCCAATTATGTTTTTTGATTTCTTAGTTAAGCAGACACAAACGTGAAAAGACATGGGTGAATTAAAACCGAATTCCTAAACACGCTACAAAGCATAAGAAGAGCCTAATGTAACGACATCCAGCAAAAACTCTTATCAGACGAAATATTTTATACGTCATACTGATTTTCTTAGAGCACGGACTTTTTTCTTTCTTGTCTGGTATCCCGAAAGATGACTTACCATGATTATAAAAAAAAAAATTTACGAGAAAGTAGTTCTCTTCATTTGAACGTAGTCTTCTTAAATGATTTTGAAAAAATCTTCTTCGGAGATTTCTTTACGAATAATCGAATAGTAAATCTTATCTCTCCGTAAGCGTGCGTTTATGGCAACTGCAATTGCTTTTCTAGAAGTAACCTGGTATATACATATTGTTACTTAGTTGGTGGTCGCCAACCTCGCCATTGGGATTTGAAGAATTTCCTTCGAGTTTTATGACTTCTTTCTAAAAGTCAATTACTTATGTGCGGGAACTATTTTAGAGTTTCACCGCAATTTCAAAACTTGATATTTATTTAGTTAGAGAATAGTATATTGAAATATTTGAAATAGTAATAATATGAACCTTCTTAATATAAACTTATTATCACAATAATCCGAAAAAGTTGCACAACAAATTCCCAAATTAATAAGTTAAGCAACTTTGATGTCAACCATCCGTTGCGTAAATTAATGACAAACAATTTTTATATATGAGGTACAAAAAATAATATACAATATGAAAGCAATAATAGGAAAAAATTAAAATATTTACACGCATATAACATATATTGTTATCATGTCTCCATACATTTGATTCTCTACAAATTGTTCTCTTGCTTATGTGTCTAAACACATGCCTCCTTCTTTTTGATCATTTTAGAAACTGAAAACCGGGTGTCTTGATGCGAAATGATGTTTCAAATTTACTTTCGATGTTCGAAAATGATTGTGAACTTTTTATAACCTAAAATGTATGATTTCAATGGAATTACACTGGTTGCATAATAAGGAAAGTACACAGTTATGGCAAGAGAGAAATATTTGTGGTCATATTATGTGAGCTTGGAGTAGGTAAACTCCTTAAAACTCGCCAAGTTTAACGATATCGCTACGACGAGTGTTCGCTTACGTACGTCGACTCCCGCTTAAGGTTTCTTCCGATCCTGCTTTTTTTAAGAATACTCAAGCAAGAGAAAATATGCATATATGTCTAATAGATAATACAAAAATGTCTAATACATTTTTATGAAACCCTTTTCCTCCGCCATTGCATTCTTTTAATAATTTAAGCGGGAAGCTTTTGAAAACTATTTTTTTTCTATTTAGACCTGCCCTCAAATAGTCACAAATAATAAAGAAAGACGATCGGAGCATAATAAAATTTTAAATGTCCAAAAATTTGATATTCCAATTATAATCGGATACTCGAAAGTTTTTCTTGAAAAAGGGAATTTTTAAAACGTCATGAAGTATAGTTCCAAAAATTTCCATTACTTTGGTTTGAGTTGCTAAAAGTATCTCTGAAATAACATTATTGTCGACTAGTTCACCTAAATGTTGTAAAGAGTGACGATTATAAAGACGTGTCGAACATTAAACAGTTGAACTCCATATGACTTTCTAATTTACACCTTTATGTATTAACAAAATCAAATAGAAATAAGTGGAAAAACTAAACAATTAAAATAAGCAAAAAAAAAAAAAATGAAACGGCCAAAAAATAAAATAAACTAAATGAAGAAAATAAATAAAATAATATAGAGTAAACAAAATGAATATACAATAAACATTTTGAAAACTAAACTTTCCGAAACCGATCCGCGTTCCTCTCGTAACCGGATTCAACGTCAATCAAAGAAAATGCCCGGCACCGTAACAATAGAAATAAGAGTAAGCCAATCAAACTTGTGACCTTTATGTCCAATAACGAAATTATTACTACATGTATTCGAAATTGGAATTGTCCCAAAATGCAGCAACCACCAGAAGAAATTCATTATTATTAAGTAAAAGAACGATGTTTTTAATTTTATACAAGAAAATAATAAATTTATAATGGTTTTATAATGGAAAAGGAGTAAACATCGCTTCTGCTTACTACGCTTGCGTTACATCCCCCTGTTTAGATTTAGCTCGTTTCTATGCAAAAAATAAAAAGGAAAAATAAGAAAACAACTGCTTTTTCGGCTATTTTTTCTACGGTACCTTCTTCTTATTTGTTTACTTGAGATTAACCTGGCTTATACGTCCACTCAAAGAATTCTGCAGAAATCTTAAAAGATCTCATTATATTTAATTTTATTCAGCTGTTTCGACAGAGTTGCCAAATTCTCTTTCGAAGTTTTTATTAGGATTTTTTATTTTTACACTGCGAGAACATATATATATGTAGATGCTGATATGCATAGAAAGCAAGAAACAATCGCTTTCAAACTTTTATAACTTCCGTCTTCCTCTTGAGTAAATTATTATTATGAAGATGGCAACGTCTTCATCACTACTTGATTTGATAATTTGGTTTTAATAATTCAGTAGAGATGTCATCTGAAGCAACGATAAAATATATAAAAGCAATTATTGATGGAGTTACCAAACCTCATGAATTTTCTCTCTTAAATTTACAATATTTCCTAACTAAGCCTTTATATCGTATTTCGGTTCAACGGAAAAAAACATTAAAGCAAATACCAATAAACAACAAAAAAGAGAATATGGAGAAATACGTTTGAATAGAATTTCATTAATTTTTCGTATTATTTAGTTAAATACAGTGTACAGTGTAGCGGGCGCGGAAGCGAAATTAGAAAAATAAAGTGAAGAAAGTGCTATGAGAAACTTTAAAATATTGTAAGCAATAAGAAAAAATAATTTCTACGGATCGATACATGTTTTGTGAAAATTTTTATGCAAAATATTTTCCTTTTCTCGAACGAACGATTCCAGTTCCAGAAAAATCGATAGTAAAAAATATGCTAAAATTGCAACAGCCAGTCCAACAATTTCACTTAAAGAAACGAAAATTTGTGTAAAGTACGTAGAAAATATATTTGAGTCAAAAATTACATAACCTTCGAAAAATTCTTGAATATTGTACTAAAAACAAAAAAATTTCTTTTGTGAAATTCTGGCATGAAGATCTTGTGCAATATTAAAGGCCGCAATAAATAGCAAGGAAAACGGGAGGAAATTTGCTTGGCCTTAAATAAAAATTTGATGAACTTGAACAAAAAAAAAAACGCACACACACAGAAGGTAATAGGTAAACAGTGATTTTTATCTTGCATTACTACAAACAGTTAATCACAATCCCGTGCAGTTCCGTCGCGTAATTATTATATTCCAGCCCAGATATAAAAAAAAAACCTACCATCCATCAAAATACCGTACGATCGTATTATTATTTTCATATTAATTAATGCGTATTTACCTCACGTTGTTTTGTTTTGAGGTGCTATCACCAAATTCAATACACAAATAGAGGAGATTGAAAAAAAAAAACAACGACTATATAAATAATAATAACAAACATCGACAATTACACATTAACAAAACTATCGCAATAATTGTTTCTTTTTTTTGCTCTTATTGCAGAGCAAAGAGAAGAAAAATAAAAAAATAAAAAATAACTTCACTAGCACACATCAAAGTGTACTGTATTATTATTTATCACTTTTTGTGCTTGTTTGTTATATGTGTATGTTTGTAATTTTCTATGATCTTATTTCAACAAACAAAACACACACATCAAATAATAAATACACTTAACCCGTCGCGAAACATTTTGCCGGTGTCTCGCTCTATCCCGACATTTATGTTTTTATTATTTCTTTCACTGACGTAAGTGTATGTATGTCGTGTATGCCTATATACGTTTCCGTGCACAATACAACAATTTTTACATATGCATTTTGCTTGAAAAGCCGGGTTTGACACCAAATACCATTTAATATAAAATAAATACAACGATTAGTTGCTTTCTATTGTAAAAGGAATAAAAATAACGATCGATTCCAACAAAAAAATATTTGGTGTTTACATTCTTGAGAACTGATTATGTCTCAAAGTCAACGGGACACTTTAATTCATTTAGTTGCTGGCGGGTAAGTTAAGTAAAAAAGAGTATAAAATTTAATTATCATTACAAATAAACATATTCCTTAATTCCCTGAAATTCTTTTAAAAGGCTTAATAAACTTTACGAATTTTATATAATGTTATGCACGATCGAAAAAATCTGTTGCCAACCAAGTTGATTTGTGTCTATATCCACTTATATCTTCAAAAATTCATACATTTTGCGATGAAAGCAGAAAGCATACCATTTAGTATAAATTTGATTATGCATTCAAACAAAACAGCAAAAGAAGTAAAAACATTACAGCGGGCTAAGGCCTACCATTTCATTCACTAAATCACTTCATCTAATATGTTTATTGAAATAATAATTTTCAAAATAAAATGTTACAAGAGAAATGATCAAAAGATTGAACCGATCCGATTTTTTGAGTTTTGAGTAAGATGAAAATAAAGTCATTGTAATAATTTGTTTCCGTGAACCGTGGATCTTATTTCGTAATTACAAGTCCAAGTCGAAAAGCTCTACAATTTTTCTTCTCTAGTCGGGTTTCATTCCATTCTCAGCACTATAAATTTCTATTCTCCAGTCCACATTCTTGGGTGCCCTGTTGTACGAACAAAGAAAATACAGGTTTCGGTTTCCCTTTCTAATTCTATTCTTATAAGGTCCACAGAACCCCAGTAATTGATGAAGAATTCGAATGCCATCAGATGAACTCATAAGTTTAAGATTTCAACATGCATCGCACTTTGACTTTTTAACATATCCACCTCTGGAGACTGAACCATTTGCTTTGCACTGCTACTTATTACACCTATACTCATTGAAAATTTGAGTTTCGAATTATTTGTACGTGTTGTTTTCTAAATTATTCGCTTGTTTCCTTAAAAAGTGATCGCTTTTATTGACTTTTTGTCGACAAAATTGTTTCTTTCAAAATAAATAAAAATTCTTGTTAAGCATTAAACAAATAAAAACAAAACACTAAGAAAATTATAATTAGTTGTGAACGAAGCTTTTATACCCGTCACCGTTATCGCAAAAAAAAAAAAAAAACAAAAAAAAAGAAATAAAAGAACTAAGTTTTCGTGCTCTGCGTTACGTAATGGGTGCGACTGATTTTTTCCATTTTCCAAAATAAAAGTTTTTATCGCTTAGGTATGTGGGGGTTGCGGGAGTGTCCTTGGAAAAGTTTAAATCACTTCCAAATTCTTTTGCAAATTTGTAGGCGACTTCTTCGTTTTCCGTAAAGGGTGAATGTTTACTACAAATACTACACGGTTGCCTAGACAGAAAGATGGACAGACGGACATGTTTGGATGCATTTCAGACTTGAAACTCGCCAAGAACTTATGTACTTTATCGGGTTTTTGAAACTTGCTTCAGTGAAAAAAAAATTAAATTTTGATACACTATAATATTGGATAGGCGTGGTCAATTCCTTCCATTTTTGTACAGGTGCTAGAGCAACGCCCATAGAATGTGCATTCGAATTTTATACATTTATCTGTTATAATTTTTGAGTAATGAGCAAAACAAAACAGTTTTTTATTCCTACGTGGTGCTTGGGGCGTGTCCTTTGACCAATTTGATCCATTTTCAATACCAACCTGCGTGCAGGAACTTCCAATGTTGAATTTGATAACTTCACTTTTGCTGCTAGGAGAATGTTCACAACAGACGTTACTGCAGGCGGACAGACGGACAGACTTAAATCGATTTAGAATTTGATGCTGTTCAAGAATGCATATACTTTAGCGGGTCTCTGACGCTTCGTTCTCGGTATTGCAAACGTTTTCACATAATGAGTATACTCTTCCTGCTTCGGTGATAAAAAGGTATTCCACGGTAGATAGATAAGAATACGAGTCTTCTAAATTATCCGCAAAAGTAGCCTAGTAAGTGGGAATCTCGACTGCCAAGTAGAGTTTGTCTTAGTTCAGTAGCTATAGTGAGTGCTCAATCGATAAAGGCATAACACTAACCCGATTGGGCAGACACGCTCACTAGACTGCGCCCACAATTTCCCTATCTCTTCCGCTTTTCTTAGTTCTATCTGACCGTCACAGTGTTACACGAATAGAGACATCCCACTGAGTGACTGGGTCATATCAAAATAAAAAAGAAAACTATAATAATTTAAGTGCTTTGCTGCTTTTTATGAAAGAAGGTCTTCGTAAACAGAACCATACTTGTAGAGCTATTTGTTGCTTGTGCTTGTAGCTGAATGTTACAAATAGAATGGAAAACCGAATAAATCTTGCCTTCCGTCAATGCAAGCGGCAATAATCTCATTTACATTAAACGTGCGGAAAACAAAAACAAAGTGTAGCCCGCGAAGTATTTCTTAAAAAAAAATTTAAAAAAAACAGACAAACAAAGAAAAGAAAACATGTGGACACATCATCATTTCGTCCAATGCAAATTTTGAGACATAAAAGATTATTTTGCGCAAACTGTTGATCTTTACTCTGTTATTGAATTCAAACGATGCCGGCTCCGATGATTTTTATTTATTTTCCACGTAAATTATACTGAATCTCCCCACAAACAGTGGCACAATTAAAAATTAATTTTTCAAATATTTATTAAAATTTTATTTAAGTTTATACCCTACATACGCCACTGGTGATGGTGTAAGCGTGTATTAAATTTGTGTGGATGTATGCAGCACCCATGTAAGATGCGAGATAGATTTGCCTTTTATTAAACCAATCCTTTCAAAATCACTTTTTGAAATGATTTAAGTCTGCCTATCCGTCTATCAGTCTTGTTTTCGAGTGTTCAACCTATAGGTGGCAAGTTTTGATGAAATTGACAAAGCGTTATTTTGAAAAGCCACTACATAAACAACTGTGTTCAAAGAAGTGTTGCTGTACTGGTGGGCCGTGTAGTAAGTAGTGTTTTCTTCTAAATAAAACTTTTTTGATGGTAAATATTTTGTGAGTGAAATATAAAGACATGAAGCATGCATCCAAGTAAGCATAGAGTCTTTTGACTATTTTCTTGGAAAACTATGAATGACGCACGCACTCATTGGGTGATTTTACTTAAGTCAAGGCGAGACAGTTTCCTTAAAAAACAATGATCAATAATCAAGCAAGGAGGCAATGGAGCAAGTAAGAGATGCACTATTTTTGTCGTTGCAGTTATAAATCGGTCAATAATTTCCGGGACTAAATAAGAATGAAATATTTCTTTTACAAAGTTCGATTGTATTCTTTAACATTGTCTTCTTCAAGACTAATACAATCAATCCAAGGCTTCTTTAACACTTCGTTGACATTTCCATAGGACGTTTTATTTATACCTTTAAAAAATAGTTTAGTTCCTGTAATTTCTTCATGATTTGATTAAAATGTGCTCGCAATTCCTTAGGGCTTTTGATTTCTTTCGGAGAATTTCATCTTACAATTTCTTACCTATAATAACAAGCGATTTCCTTTTCTTTTTTTACGAGATTCCGATAAATTAATTTAAATATCCCGTAAATGCTTTTTATTGCTTGTATATGATTCAGTCATCACTGATGTCTGGGAAAATTTTACTTTGGGAAGCCAACCGAACAACAAGACATTGAGTTAACAAGAAATTTATTTGAGGCTTTTCCACCTAAATAGGGACATAGGTAATGAACTTGGTTAACTTAAATATCATGTTCGAAATTATGCGGAAGCACTTTAGAAAAAAGTTTAAAGTTTATTGTGTTGTTTCCCTTATAAATATGTATATATTATATTTATTGTCTACTACAACTGTCTGGCCGAGAATTAATCGCAAGTATGTTAATTTCCCCCTGCGCGAAATTGTCTTAATCGACCCATCAACACAATTTAAAAAACTCTGTACCTTTATAGTGTTTGCTTGAAATTCCCATTGTTAGTATGTAAACATAAGAAAACAACAAAAAAAAGTTGCAATATTTCTCTTACCTTTGGCTGTGGTCGATTTTCGTCTATCTTAAGCGAGGAAATCGAAAAAAATAGGATTTGTGGATACTGTATAATGTTAGACCGACGTGTTCTCGGGTTTCTCCATTTTTGTACAGATATTGTAAAGTCACTCATAAAATATAGAGAAAAAGAGAGAGAGAGAGAGAGAGAGAGAGATTTTTATCTTTGATGCATTGAAATTTACGGATAATGAGGAAAAAATTATCTTCTTCTCCTCTCTCTTTATATGCCTTCTAGGTTCTAGGGGATTTTCCCTTTGGTTAAAAAATTTGATAAAATTTATACACTGAGGTAGATAAAGAAAGAACATACGTATAAAAATCAAATAGAAACATTATAGTCGGCCACGGCAAGCCATTAAGTACCTTATACTACTTCGCTTAATACAGTTATTTATGTAATAGCTTTTCAATATAAGCCATTACATGAAAAGTGCTCTAGAATGTGATGCGATGCCAAAACACATCAGTACCAAATTTAATCAAAATTTCTCGAAAATCGCTATCCGTAGGTTGAACACAAAAATACATAGACAAACAGACGACGGATCAACAAGTTTACAAAAGATTCAGTATCATTTTCTAAACTTATCGGTATAATAAAAGGCAGATCTATCTGAAATTCATTCTTCGTATTGCATCATACATCCGTACAAACCTAATATACCCTCTATTGGTAGTAGTAGTGTAAGTTAAGCTGTGTTGTGCCATTAAATTTTAGAGGAGAAAAAAAACTTGAAACTTGTAATTAAACTTGTTTTATTTACTGTCGAGAGGTCACCATTCGTTACGGTCAAATTACAAAAATGGATTAAAGGTGTTTAGGTCGTACTGGATGTACTTGCGGCATTTTATAATTGCTTGCCGGCTTATATATATGTATGTATTATATATGAACGTATGTACACATTTTTTCTTGCTGCTTTAAGGGAACCAGAAATTTATTTATTTATTTTGGCATTTAATTAAGATAATATATTACTGTTATAAACTTAAAAAAAAAAAATTGCGACTAAAAAATTGTTTACCGAATACATTGTAGGAGAGCAAATGGCTACATCAGTTCTATC